TCTTCTTCCTCCTCTTCCTTGAGGAAGAACTTCCCCATGTCCATTTGCTTGGCCTTGTCTATCCATGTTCAGAGATCGGACTAGCGCTGGTCAAGCTCTATATATCTGTGTTTGGCAGCCCGCGATCATGGAAAACACTTGTGTGTGACACTCCCCATTCGTTAGTCAGTTTCACCTGACTGTCAGTTACTGTCATCAGTGTATCAAATATTCAAAGAAAGGTTCGTGGTATTATGTTCTTGACCAATTCTGACAATTGAACAGACAGTTGTGCATGCGAGTTCTTACTCAATGAAACCATGCTGACATGTTTTGGAGAGAATGATCATTAGACTGAGAATCAACTAATCAGTTTAGATCTACAAGATCTATTCATTTGGAAAATGTGCTAAATGTGGGCTAACTGTATTGGGCTCGACACACGGGAGGCGACATCGCCTCTCCTCCATTCATTTTCAATGAGACATGCGCGACAAAGTGATAATCGCGGGTCTCCCTCCTACTAAGCGAAACGCGAAAAACGTGCGTGTGAAATTTTGCGCTCATGCACAGGCGACCCAGCGACGCGATCCCAGAAAGTTGAAATATTTTCTACTTTCCATCGCTGTCGCTCAGACGAGGACCAATCAGTGGAGGTTTCATTCACTGACCAATGAACGGACAGGATGCTCCGTATGTCTCCGAGCAAACATGAAGGAGAAGTTGATTATTATTTTGTTTTATAGTAAAATCAGAAGTAAGATTTCACATAACTCTAGCAGCACCTTGTCAAACATCATATCTACCGCTTTATTAACTCTGAACCGCTTAAATAACCTTAATTCCCTCCAACCTGACACAGCCAAGCAAAACAACGGAAGTTTCGATTTCGCCATGGAACAGAACGCGTAGACAGATTTGCCGCTGGCCGCTGCCGCGGATCACCTCCCGTGTGTCAGGTAATAAAAGCGACAGCGACAAATTTCGCTGATCGCGGTCGTTTGTCACCTCCCGTGTGTCGAGGGTTTTTAACTGTAGGCTACATGTACTTAATCATTTGCAAAGATGCATTGAGACAATTGAGACATGTACTAAGGCATTTGCCATTTGATTAAATGAATGAGAAATGCCATTCGGTTGTGAACATTTGCCAAGAGGTTTGGAGGTTTGTCCATGTTATTTTGAGAATGTAATTTCTGTTTCAAGAAATGAGCCAAACCAATGCAGAAAAACTGTAATAAAATCTACAATGCATGGGTCAATTTGGTCAAACATCCTGATTAACAAGGTAGTAGAAATGAAATCAGCACAGCATGAGGTTGGTTTCATGTGTTTCATTTGCACACTTGTGTCCTACACACTCGAACCCTACTGCACACTTTCTCCAAGTGCACTTTGCTGAAGTCCGCAGGGCACAGTGTGAGTATTGAGACTGGGCCTATGGTAAACATAGGGAGACTAAGTCTCCTCCCTTTTCGCATGGCTCATGGGTCCCCAGAACATCGAAAAAATAATGCAAGTAAAAGGGACCAAAAATGTTATTTATTATCCACTTTCTTTGCCTTAGGCCCTGGATCACACATAGGTTGTACTGCAATTTAAATGAAAACTAATGATGGTTGTTTCGACCACGCCTGTCATGTATTTAGAGATTTATCAGCTTGTAAATGTTTGTAATTAGCACGACTACAAACAAGACATCGGCACGTCGCATATGTTACGTCACCACAGGGCCGTTGCTAGCTATTTTGGTGCCCTAAGCACAAAGGCGTTGTGGTCCGTCCGTCCGTCCCCCCCCCCCCCCCCGCAGAAAAAACAACACAATAACACAGTATGTGCAAGCGCTTCACCTTAAATTCTCTTTAATTCTCTTGTATGCACAAACTGCTTATTATTTCCAAAAAGTAGGATTGATATTTACATAATATAACATATTCAACACAGGAACTCCATATTGTCATTATTTAGAACTATGTAACAGATCCACACACCACAAGCACCGGGTGTGGCACACGTGTTTCACCAATGTAATTTTCAGATGCTTTTTCAGATCCAGGACTCACTCTGCCTTCAGAAGTGCTGGCTGTGGGCTGTGCTCGGTCTGTAGGTGTGCTTTACTTTGTAATTCCTGGTCAGGGCTGGGTTTAATGTTGTAGAAGGTTCAGACGTGATGGCTCTTGAACTGCTGGTGGATGGCTGATCTGAACTTTCGGCATGAGCTCCTCCTTGAATGTACTTGTTCACTGAGCCTGCATTCAGACACAAAAAGATAATTTGTCATATTCATTCTATAATAAAGATAAAACCATGGTAAAAAAAATACTGCAATAGATTATTTATAGGTTTATATTGGCTTATAAATCACTGGCATGTGACATGACTAAACTCAAAACTATTTAACCTTTATTAAGGACTAGAGAGGCACAATGTACACATTTTATACACAACTAGAAAATTCTGAGTACGAAGGGAGGAGGTTAGCATAATGGACCTTTTTCTTCAAATTATACCAACAGCAGCTGATGTTCCCCTTGGCTCTTAAATGTTTATGAAATATATATCAACATAGAGCAAATACCTAATTTGAAAATAGGTTTATCTAATTTTTCATATTAAATCTCAGTTTCATAGCCTATAGGCCACATAGGCTATTTAATAATGATATAAATCATGTCCATAGATAACTCATGATTAATCACAAACAGCCGCTTATTTAAAAATAAAATTTCTTACTTTACCTTGACGGTGTTTTTGTCCTTCCTGTTGTTGTGATATTTAAGTATTTGGGTGGACAAATATGATTCATTTGTTTATTTCTGTTTCAAAACAGCACAGATGGGCCTTTCTGACCTCACAGGGAAAACTTTATTTTACTTGAGAAAGATGCTTTAAGATGAACTTATTAAAACAAAAAAATCTTCAAACTCTTCAAGGTTTATTTTTAGATGAACAACCTTTAACACTGTTCAGACTTATTTGTTGATCCAAGTCGCATGAACAGGCTGAATAAAAGGATATTTCCCTTTGTTGCATTTAACTATTTCTTCTTCTTTAAAGAAGTGCTGATTCAGAAGAGAATAACTGCATTTAGGAAGATGATGACTTGCTACGTTTTTTCTCCAGCAGTAAAAAAGCTCTAAAGCTTCTCTGAGTGTCTCTCCCTCTCAGCCTCTCTCACTCAGCTACTAATGAACGCCCGGTAGGCGGACGGGAGGCTGCGGGACAGAGTGGCGCGTTATACTTTTAACAGACTGGAGAAGCAAAGAACGAAATCTGCCCAAACCGCGCAGATAAGAGTCAAAATGTTAAATGTACGGAAGCAGAGTGCGAAAAACACCAAATAAAAGTCCTGAAAAGCAGCATGCTTACCAAACTTGACAAAATTTGACCAAAAACAGATTAACAGCAGTAACAAGTCTGAATTTAAGCTAGGTCAAACGACTCTCTGAACTTGACCGCACGTGTTTAGAATTAGAAATAGATAAAAAAAGTAAGAATTTCCATTAAAATACTTGTCTTACCTGCAATCGAAGCAACAGCATCATCCCGCTGTTTTTTCTTTTGTCTCTTTACTGCCCCGGACTCCTGCAGCCTTGTCGGAGCCATGACTGTGCCCGCTGCATCCTCCGCAGGTGTACTGCTGGGGTGGGGGTGGTGGGGGACGGTGCGACACGGTCCATCTCCTTTACTTTTTGTATTGTTTTCTCTCTGTAAACATGCTGTTAACTTGCTTTGCACATCTTCTAATTGAAATCTGTCTTTAGCATATGTGTATTATTTTTTCATAAGCTTGCGTTTGGTGCCCCTCCCCCAGCGTGGTGCCCTACGCGCTGTGCGTGGTGTGCGTGTGCGGAGCGCCAGCGCTGTGTCACCACATGATCTCCTCTCCCCTAGCGTAGCTGCTAATTACCACATGGCCACATTTATGGTGGTTCTTACCTTCTGAAGGAAGGATTTGAAGTTTGCTGAGCTTACAGCCATTTTCCCTCTATTTTTCTTTGTGTCTGGTTCGATGATGTCACTTTCGTGAAGCGCATTTGTAGTCCTGAATTTTTTTTCACATAACACCTAAAATATCGTCGTCCCCCCCCCACCCCGTTTGAAAATAAGCACATCCCTGGCATCAAAATTGCTTCTTTAAACTTCACGGACATCATATGTGAAATCCATGTCACACAACATGTGGAATTAGAAAATAGCATTTTGAGCCCCGCTGACTTGCATTCATTTTTGTGTTCTTCCGGGGACCCATGATGCGGAAGTAGATGGGCGTGACTTAGGTTACCGATTGCCGTGACCGAAAGTTACAGGAAATGAGTCACAGGATGATTCAGTCGTGGTAAAAGTGTGAAATAAGGGTTATGTTTTAACTAAACTTAAATGCAGATTAAACACAGCAGTTCTAGTCTGTATGATGTATAGATCTGGGTTATTTTTTTTTAATGTTTTTTTTATTGTAAAATTTTGTGATCCCTATCTTCTTCTTCTTCCTGTGAGACTGGTGGGGCGGCGCCCTAGCGCCTCTATGGATGAGCCGCCACTGCTAAGTTACACCCATGAGCATGGACGTAATTTTTGGGGGGGACAGGGGGGGCATGTCCCCCCCACTTTCTCCAAAGTCAAGTTTTCACCCCTGCACTTTTTACCAATACGCTATATTAAATTGGCACTGGTTGAGCTCTAGGACCAAGCAGAAAACAACCATTTGTGTTGAAGCCTGTTTCCCATTAGAACATACTGTAAAGACCCCCACCCCCCACCCACCCACCCACACACACACACACACACACACACACACGTGTCCCCCCCACTTCTAAAGTGAAAATTACGTCCATGCCCATGAGTGTTAGACGGAGAGGCCGAAATGCCCGGCTCCTGCAGCAGCGGCAATGACTTGAAACAACTGATGGGAATATTCATTTCAAAGAATTGAAAATGATTACTTATTCTTAAAAAAATCACTTGAGCACATTTGTGAATAAAACTTTATGAAAACTCAAGGGCCCCCTCCCTCCTACCAGGCTGCCATCTGCCGCAGCAGCCAGCCTCTGTCGGGTTTTAGCGCTCGCTGCATGGAGGATGAGCAGATGCTCGAGGCCATCTTAAGGTCCAACCCCCGCAGTGACTTCATGTATGTGGTGGACACCAGGCCTAAGGTGAGCCCTTCATTCCTGTTATCTGTATGTTCAGGTGGGCTTTATTTGGCACAGTGTTCATCCAGCTGCATGTCCGGTCAGTAGAAGCCTCTAACATCCTGCCAAACTGAGTTAACTGAATGTGTTTTATCTCTCTAGCTGAATGCTATTGCGAATCGAGCAGCAGGAAAAGGCTACGAAATCGAAGACAACTACTCCAACATAAAGTTCCAGTTTATGGGGATTGAGAACATCCACGTCATGAGAAACAGCCAACAGAAAGTTCTAGAACGTAAGTTTAACTCCTCCCACAGATTAGGAAGCAGAGGTGGATTAGAGTGCTTGCTTTCATCAGCGTCTGTAGTACAAAATGTCCAGTTTCTGGCTACATCTTTCTAAATCTGCTGTTCCTCCACTTTACTGAAGCCGACCGGGGCTCTCTGCTCCCCCCCCCCCCCCTGTGGCTTTTCACATGCAGCCATGCAGGCTGTACCAGGCTTCAAATGAGCCCACTGGAGAATTTCTGAGTATTGTTTAGGGACGCTCCGTAGGAAAGCTTCGAGTCCATCTGGATTTGATTTAGCAGCTATTTTGGTTTACCAAGAGTGGACATCCCCGGGCATCTCCCCCCTCCCTCAAAGAGAGACAGAGGGCGTGAGAATGGTGGGATTTTAATGTCTGAAAAGTTAGAGCTGTTCTTAGTTGTGATAACTCCTTGGCCCTCCTGGCAGCATGAGAGGAGTCTTTAAAATGCTCTGGAACACAGCTAACCCCTCAGAGTCTGCGGGCCTCTCTATTCCAGACTTCAGTAGGATTTAGAGGAACCCCCCACATCCCCGAATGGTAGCGTGGAGGTCTGCTCACCTGACCAAAGGCCAAATAAACCTGTTGACCTGCTCAGTTCCTGTTAAACACCACAGAGATCTTCTCAGGTTGGCAAAGTGATGCTGAGTCCACAGAAACACACACCTGTGTGTTAAAGAGCGAGAAGTGAGCTAATGTTCACTATTATCTAGGTGTGAAATTAAAGTATGAGGTGATAAATTCTCCGTACACTAGAACATTTTCATGGGTGCCATTGCAACCGCCTGTAGTTTCAGCACACATCATATTCCTGATATAAAGCCATGAGTAGTAATTTGGGACTTTTTTTTCACACATAACCCATCTGCTCAGCACTATGCACTTAGTTCACACACACACACACACACACACACACACACACACACACACACACACACACACACACACACACACACACACACACACACACACACACACACATATGTGCATAATTTGCAGTTTATAGAAACAAAGCAAGACATTCGAAGCTCAAATCCATTGAGACCAATCACCCAAACCTAACCCTAACTAAAACTGCATTCACACTATACCTCCTGAACAAACTGGTAAGCTTTTAAAAAAAAGTGAGGACCAAAAAAATTTCCTCACTTAAAAAAAATTTCCTCACGTTGTAGGGAAAATAGTGGAATTTTAAAAAAAATAAATATATATACATATGTATATGTATAAATGTATACATATATATATATATGTAAATGTATAAATGTATACATATATATATATATATATATGTATATGTATATATATATATATGTATACAAAAATGTATACATATATATATATATATATGTATACATTTATACATGTATATGTGTAAATGTATACATATATATATATATATATATATATATATATATATATATATATATATATATATATATATATATATATATATAGTTTGCAGTTTATAGAAACAAAGCAAGACATTCGAAGCTCAAATCCATTGAGACCAATCACCCAAACCTAACCCTAACTAAAACTGCATTCACACTATACCTCCTGAACAAACTGGTAAGCTTTTAAAAAAAAGTGAGGACCAAAAAAATTTCCTCACTTAAAAAAAATTTCCTCACGTTGTAGGGAAAATAGTGGAATTTTTAAAAAAATAAATATGTATACATATGTATATGTATATGTATAAATGTATACATATATATATATATATGTAAATGTATAAATGTATACATATATATATATATATATACACATGTATATATATATATATATATATATATATATGTATATGTATATATATATATATATGTATACAAAAATGTATACATATATATATATATATGTATACATTTATACATGTATATGTGTAAATGTATACATATATATATATATATATATATATATATATATATATATATATATAGTTTGCAGTTTATAGAAACAAAGCAAGACATTCGAAGCTCAAATCCATTGAGACCAATCACCCAAACCTAACCCTAACTAAAACTGCATTCACACTATACCTCCTGAACAAACTGGTAAGCTTTTAAAAAAAAGTGAGGACCAAAAAAATTTCCTCACTTAAAAAAAATTTCCTCACGTTGTAGGGAAAATAGTGGAATTTTTAAAAAAATAAATATGTATACATATATATATGTATATGTATAAATGTATACATATATATATATATATATATATATAGTTTGCAGTTTATAGAAACAAAGCAAGACATTCGAAGCTCAAATCCATTGAGACCAATCACCCAAACCTAACCCTAACTAAAACTGCATTCACACTATACCTCCTGAACAAACTGGTAAGCTTTTAAAAAAAAGTGAGGACCAAAAAAATTTCCTCACTTAAAAAAAATTTCCTCACGTTGTAGGGAAAATAGTGGAATTTTTAAAAAAATAAATATGTATACATATATATATGTATATGTATAAATGTATACATATATATATATATATATATATATAGTTTGCAGTTTATAGAAACAAAACAAGACATTCAAAAATTCAGCTTGCATAATTTTCAGTTTATAAAAAATTGCTGATTTCAGAAGCATAAATGTCAGCGTGTATATACTGCATATATACATATTGGTACTGGCAAATATTGGTTAACGGCCATATTAGCCATACTAATGTCAGATATCTATATCGGTCCAAAATTTCATATCCCTAATATGAACTTTAAATTCCCCATTTTACCATCTACCGAGCTGCGCTTGCAGGTTTCCTGTCTCCAAAATGTGCTTCACGCCACAGTCAGCATTTGATTAATGTTGCAGACCTTTTCCCCTCAAGTTTTTCTTCATACGGTAAACGTCGAAAATTACTTACGCATTTTTCAGATCCCATTTTGCGCGGCAAGCTTTATAATTGAGGTCTCTGTACTAGATTAGAGCTTTGTCAAGTCCAAGCACTCCAGTGGGCTTTAAACTATATTCACACACACACACACACACACACTGTCATATGGCAGGTTGAATCCATCCATCTATTTTCCTCTGCTTATTCGGGCTGCGTTGCGGGGCCAGCAGACTCAGCAGAAAGACTCAGACTCCCGCTAAAGGTAGGACTTCAGCTGGCCTATCAGTCGACAGTGGGTGTATTGAGTCAGTCCAGCCCTGTCAGACCGCCGGCTGGGAGAGGAGGTCTAACAAAAGGGTCAGGTGAGCATGGAAAATGCACTAGGCTACCCATATGTGAACACAACTTACCCTACCAGGCAGAGGTGGAAAGTAACGGATTACATTTACCCGCGTTGCTGTAATTGAGTAGCTTTTTTTTGTATTCATTCTTTTTGAGTTGTTTTTTAAAATCTGTACTTTTACTTGAACATGTTTTTTATTTTTTTAAAGAATTGTATTTTGCTACATTTTCAATCATATCCGTTACTGAGTAAAAAAATTATAGGCTAATGATAAATAAAAAATATTGCAGCGTTGGAACAAAAAGAGACACCCACTTGAGCTCTGTGTGTGTGTGTGTGTGTGTGTGTGTGTGTGTGTGTGTGTGTGTGTGTGTGTGTGTGTGTGTGTGTTACACATATAGGACTGCATGAGATGGCGTGGTTTCATCAGATCCAGGTATCTTCCCCGCAAACAGTCAACGTCACATGGACGTCCAGATCATGTCTGTATGACGTCCAAACTAGGTCTTTTCACAGTGGGTTATTTCATGCTGGAAGTAATGGCTAACAAAAATAACTTGTATTTCATACGTAATGACGTCTCATTAGTGTCTATGATAAATTTTATTATCTTTGGTCTGGGAGGTGTACCAAAGCATGATAAAAGCCTTTTAAAGCATGTTAAATGTCTTACAAGAGGAGATAAATGCATGAATTTATATTTAAAGTTCATGTTTGGAGACCAACCTTCACAGTTTGGAGGCTCACGCTGGTGAGGAGACACCGTTAGTTCTAGTAACACCTGGGCTCCCAAGGCCTAGTCTGACAGGATGGATGTTACGGAAACCTTAAGGATTCCAGTTGGATGATTGGGGGATTTTGTTTTAGCAAGGCTGGAATGAACAAACTGATTTCAATCCAAGGTCGAACTCTGCCGACTTTAAAAATCAGCTGCTCTAAATAAGCATGAAGGTCAGAGAGGAGCTCTAGGATGGACATGGATAAAGGAACTGTAATGTAGAGGTAAAGTAGGGCAGGGCCGACGTTAGCAGCTGTCATACGGTCCATCTGACATGTTTGACTTTCGTTTAGCTCGTTATGTGACAGGTTAGAGCACAGCCTCATGTTAGAGTTTTGTCATGAGAAGAGAAATAACTGATGGCATTTAATGAAATAAAATGTTTTGTCAAAATAATTTTAATCACATTTGAATCTTGGAAAAACCTCCCTCAATCAAATGTGCACATCCTGTTCTCCCCGCCATCAAACTGTGTGTGTGTGTGTGTGTGTGTGTGTGTGTGTGTGTGTGTGTGTGTGTGTGTGTGTGTGTGCGCATCTGTGTGAGTGTGCATGTGTGCGTGTGTGTGTGTGCGTGCGTGCGTGTGTGTGTGCAAGCGTTTTGTGAGCTGTCATGATGTAAGCCATCCTTACACTGACAAAAATGTAACTAAGTAACTTTTACTTTGAGTACTTTGAGTATTTACAATACTTTTTAACTTTACTTGAGTAAAAATGTAGGCAAGTACGTGTACTTGTACTTGAGAAAAAAAAGCATCAAAGTATTGGTACTCGTACTTAAGTAGGATATTTTAGTACTCTTTCCACCTCTGCTACTAGGGCTGGCCCATGCCGACCCAAATGTGAAAGCACCGATAGTCCCTCCATCGTGTCCTGGGTCTACCTTTAGGTCTCCTCCCGGTTGGACGTACCTGAAAACCTCACCAGGGAGGCGTCCAGGAGGCATCCTGTCCAGATGCTCGAGCCACCTCAGCTGGCTCCTCTCGATGTGGAGGAGCAGCAGATCTACTCCAAACTGAGTTTCTCACCCTACCTCTGAGGGAGTTTGTATCCATTCATGATTTTTACTCATTTTTACAGATATGAGGTAGATTTTTTTATGATTTTTATTTTAATGACGTCCAGTGACCGGACATTCTAAATATTACTCTAAAATTTTGACCCCACCCCCTTCCCCCAATGTTTCCATTTAGCCGTTTTTATACATTTTACACAACATACTGTGCACAGACTGCATGTACAAATAGCACGTGTGCTGCGAGAGAGGAGGGATGTTTAATAAAAGTCTAGTGATGAGGAATGCTCCCTGTTTCCTGCCAGTGAGACAGCTGTGTTGTGCTTTCAGTGTGCGAGCTGCGATCCCCCTCCATGTCCGACTTCCTGGAGGGTTTGGAGAGCTCGGGCTGGCTGAAGCACATCAAAGCCATCCTGGATGCAGGCATCTTCATCTCCAAGGTCCGTCTGCAGGTTAATCCTCTCTGTCTGTGTCGCAGTTTAAGTCCGATTTGGCCCAGATTTTTGTGCAAGAGTGTGTGTGAAGTAAGAATAATATTAGGAACCATTCTGCACTTTGTTCTTTTGTCTGTTTGCTGATGAAGTTGGTGCAGTAACACAATCACCAGTGCATTTTAGTGTCATTTGCAGCTTCTTCGTTGACCATGAAGCTGATTTAAATAAGATTATTTTAGCTAATTAAAGCTGGGTGCAAGTAGCTACATTTTTTTGCTAAAACTTGAGCAAATTTAACATTTCTGTGAGAGCCAAACTTGATGATTTATTGCTTTCTTTACTTGTATTTTTTTACTTGCATGAAGCGTAATCCCAGCAGTGTTTAACATTTTTGTTTTACTCGTGAGCTGTACAGCTTTCAGGCAACAAAACTCTTATTTATCTTCTCTCTTGCAGCTTCTGTTTTCTTTCCAGAAACATTTCAGTCATAAAGTTCATAAGTGCTAAATGGCCGGTATTTGTATAGCGCCTTCTTAGGGTTCTCCAACCCCCCAAGGCGCTTCACAACCCAATCAGTCATTCACCCATTCACACGCTAATGGGGATGAGCTACGATGTAGCCACAGCTGCCCTGGGGCGCACTGACAGACCGTCAAACACAGGCACCACCGGTCCCTCCGACCACCACCAGCCGGTAAGGCGGGTTAAGTGTCTTGCCCAAGGACACAACAGCAGCATTCTCTAGTTGGAGTCGGGATCGAACCTGCAACCGTCCAAGTACTGGACAACCCGCTCTACCTCCTGAGCTACTGCCGCCCCTAAAGACTACAGTCAAAAAAATAAAAACAAAAAACATAGAAATAAAACTTGGTCACAGTAAAACTTTAGACTGTGTGTGTGTGTGTGTGTGTGTGTGTGTGTGTAGGCTATAGCAGAGGAAGGTGTCAGTGTTCTGGTCCATTGTTCAGACGGGTGGGACCGTACGGCCCAGGTGTGCTCGGTGGCCTGTGTGCTGCTCGATCCATTCTACAGAACCCTCAAAGGACTCATGGTACACACACTGTCACATCTCCTCTCTATCATTACAGTTTGATTACATCTCAGAAGTTCTGATGTCAGGTTTACCTAAAAACTCAGACGTCTTAATGCATCAAGCTTGACTTGGTGTGTGTGAGTGTGTGTGTGTGTTTCTGCTGGGACCTAGTTAAATCCATAACAAGGAAAACATCACTTCTCTTGTGTTTTTTTGTTTCGTTTTGTTTTGACCAGGTACTTATTGAGAAAGACTGGGTTTCGTTTGGACATAAGTTTTCTCACAGGTCTGACTCTGAAGTATCTTGTTCAGTGATTTGGACCTGATTTAACGGATGTTTTATTTATTTATTTATTTTGACTCCTCTTCAGATGCGACCACTTGGCTGGAGATCCTAAAGAGGTGTCTCCTATCATCGACCAGTTCCTGGAGTGTGTGTGGCAGCTGATGGAGCAGTTCCCTTGTGCATTTGAATTCAACGAGAGGTTCCTCATCACCATCCACAGCCACATTTACTCCTGCCAGTTTGGTAACTTCATTGGCAACAGCCAGCGAGAGAGGAGAGAGCTGAGGTGAGATTAAAACTGTGGCCGTAAGATCTGAGGGTGTTTCTCAATGTCAAGGAACCCCACCTTGATGCCTTGGTCCCGTCCCGGTTGCCTAGGAGATACGGCATCAGGAACCGCCAAGGGGTGTTCTAATGTTCCTGTGCTATGGAGGCGTCTGTCCTGTTTGTCTCCCGTTTAGCTAATTGACCAAGAATACATGGGAGGTGCCTTGTTGCCTTCCCTCAGTCAAAATTTCCCAGAATACAGTGTGGTATTTTCAAAAAGATGGCAGATCAGGAGTCCGCAGCAGTGACTTTTGGGGCATATTTCCAGTTTAAATGTAAGTCAACTAATTGTAGCTATCGGACTTGTTAAAACGTTTTTTAAATCCAAATCCGTTATCTATGGTTGGTTAGTTGCTTAGTAGTTTGGGCTTCGGTGGCTAGCGGGTAGTAACCAAGCCCGCACAATGCGGCTCAAAAATTGAGGCCAACCCGGAAGTACCAACATTTGCAGTTCCACTCTCATCCACTAGGGGCTGGTGTCAGAAGCGAGCAAATCCTCATTGACTCCCATGTTAAAAATACCAATTTCACAGCAGAAATAAACATGTTTACAGCCTGGTACCAGAACATGTTTTTGGTTTAAATGATCTAGTTTACACTCATGACAACTCTGAGGGGGGTGAATGTTTTTCTCACTCTTCTGTTTAAGTGTATTAAAAGCCTAAAATTCTGTATAATTAATGAGCATCAGACCCACGTGACCACAGAGCTAGCTCCGTGGAAAGGCCTCAGTAGAGCCTCGGTCTGGCCTGGAAACTGCTCCAGGATTTTGAGTCTCTGTGTGTGTGTATTCTGTTTTGGATATTATTTGTGCAACTGTTGGACAAAATGACTTGCAGTGGTATTAATTGCACTAATAGAGCGTCCAAGGAGTCTCCACCTCATTTTTTTCGGTAAGTAAAATTATATTTTTGTATTTTAGGTCACTGCCGAGCTGAGCTTAGATTTTAACATGTACTGTTTAACCATGAAATTTAAATGTAATAGGGTAAAACCCAGTGCATTTAACATAATGCTGCACTTTAGAAAATGGGTTGAAATATAACATGTTGGTGGAGCTGGGTTCCCACTATCGGTATGGTCCCCTCCCCTCAGTGGCAGCTCGGCGCATCTCTGATCCCCGCAGCGCCTGTCTGCTGCGTGGCGGTCGGCTTGTGGAGCTCTCGGGAGACCTCTGTGTTCTACCCGGTTTTACCCAGCGGTCAGCCCGGCGTATCTCTGACTCAGAAGCTCTGGTGTTGTGCACAGTTAACTCCGGTTGTAGCTAGGTAGCTACCTCCATTAGCTTAGCTCCCACCTCCACGTTAGCTGTGGATTAGCTTGGAGCTACATCGCTTCAGTTAACAGGTGTTGTCATTTGATCCCAGCCTTACAGCCCCACCCTCAGCTCCACCTCTTTTCCCTTTTATGGAATTGTCTAAGTTAGACGGAACCTGTGACACGGTGAAAATGGCGGTGGTGGCCACCTCCCATTTTGGCACAAAAACTTGTAATTGGAGCCTATGGACACGAATTGTCCAGTATATATGTCGATGGGTAGGTCAGATAGCTTTGCATGTATTAACCATTGGAAAGTAGCGTGGACATTTCTCATACCAAAAGGAAACACTGTATATTGTAGGAAGGTATCAGGGAAAAACAAAAGCTGACAATTCAGAAGCCATCTGGGTAAGAGGGACCTGCCATTAGCCCTTTAACTAAACTAATCGAGTAACATACTGGGCTGCTCCCAATTTCTTATCAACACAGTCATCCACCCTTGGTAGAGGATAAGAATGAGAGATGTGACCGCATTCAACTTCCTGTAATCATTTTCTAGATGTTCCATTTGTTTTTGTTTTTTCTCAAGAAGGCAGGGAGAACTCCAGGAGCTTTTTATATATCTATGGGCTGAGGCAGTAACAATTCTCAATAAGAAATGAGTCTGGCGTGGCTACTTTACTTGATTTTATCTCTATTTATTCATGTATCGTTTTTATACTTTTTATATTTTTATGGATGTGTGTATATTTTGTGAGTGTGTGTGTAACTGGGTGCTAATTCTCATGTCACATGGCAAATCAAATTTACCTTCGGGTACTAATAAAGTTACCTTGGGTTTAGCAAACCCGTTTGCGTTCAAATTGTCTGTCTCACTTTTCATCAACTGCATTTTTACTGGATTCACACAGTAGGGATGTGGCTTTAGTGATGATTGTTGGTAACTTCTACAGCATGTTTAGTTAAAGTAGTCTGGGTAGATATGTCTGAAAACAAGCCATGACTTTTATGGATTAACTCTGGTAACTCCACTCTCATCTCAGAGGGTAAATGCTGCAGTTGAGTTTGAAACTCTTTAAGTGCTTCTGATTTCTGTAGTCTAGGGCTCCAATATGGGGAAAACTCTTTTTGAAAATCATCTCGTGCTTCCTGAGCAGGATTGATCTCAGGTGTTTGCACAACACAGGAAACTGTGAATTAAAAGAGTAAGTCTATAGGGAGCCTAAGGCACGCCCATCTACTGCTGCACCACGGGTCCCCGGAAGAACGAGAAAATGAACGCAAGTCAACGGGGCTAAAAACGCTATTTTCTAATCCCGCTTTTTATGTGCCACGGATTTCACATATGATGTCCGTGAATTTTAAAGAAGCATTTTGATACCAAGAACGTGTTTATTTTCAAACGGGGGAAACGTTATTTTAGGTTTTGTGTGAAAATAAGCCTTTCTCACAGAAAGGCTTTCTAAGCAACCTTTCTCAGTGGCCTAGTGGTAGAGTGTCCGCCCTGAGACTGGGAGATCAGGGGTTCGATTCCTGGTCGGGTCATACCAAAGACTTTGAAAAAATGGGACCCAATGCCTCCCTGCTTGACACTCAGCATTAAGGGGTTGGATTGGAGGGTTAAACCACCAAATGGTTCCCGAGCACGGCTGTGTCTGCAGCTCACCGCTCCCCCAGGGGATGGGTCAAATGCGGAGAACAAATTTTGCACACACACCTGTGTGTGTGACAAGTAATGGGACTTTAACTTTAACTTTAAGTCCTGGACTACAAATGCGCTTCACGAAAGTGACGTCATCAAACCAGACACGGAGAAAACTGAGGGAAAAGGGCTGTAAGTTCAGCAAACTTCTCACAGGAGGAAAGAACCGCCATAAATCCAGTCATGTGGTAAGTAGCAGCTACGCTAGGGGAGAGGAGATTATGTGGTGACGTTCCATATGCAACGTGCCGATTTCTAGTTTGTAGTCATGCTAAGTACGAACTTTTACAAGCTAATAAATCTCAAAGTACGTGACTGGCGTGGTCAAAACACCCATCATTACTTTTCATTTAAACTGCAGTACAACACGTGTGATCCAGGGCGTAAGGCAAAGCGGATTAGAAAATAGCATTTTTAGCCCCGTTGACTTGCATTAATTTTTTCGTTCTTCCGGGGAGCCGTGATGCAGAAGCCCATCTACTTCCAGACCACTGGTCCCCGGAACAACGAAAAGATGAATGCAAGTCAGCGGGGCTAAAAGAGCTATTTTCTAATTCCGCTTGTTGTGTTCCATGGATTTCACATATGATGTCCGTGAATTTTAAAGAAGCATTTTGATACCAAGAACATGCTTATTTTCAAACGGGGGGAGACGCTATTTTAGGTTTTGTGTGAAAATAAGTCCAAGACTACAAATGCGTTTCACTAACATCATCGAACCAGACACGGAGAAAACTGAGGGAAAATTGAGCTCCGGGAGTTGATGTCACGTTTCCCGGCATGCAACAGTTCAAATCGAAACGGCGCCATATTGGCAGGCAGAAGCCGGCAGCTGGACTATTTGTTATTGTCAGAAAACTCAATCAAACAGGAAATACGGTAGATTCCTGTTGTGCCCCAGGATGCAGAACAGACGCGGACGACATAAGGAATGAGCCATCTACAGGATTCCCCAAGATCCGGAGCGCCGCAAACGTTGGATCATTGTAATAAAACGCGCTAGTGACCGGGCTAAAATGAAGCTGTGGGATCCCGAGAGTAAAGGGTTTCGCTTATGCAGCGACCGCTTCATATCAGGTACTTAAACCAACGTTTCCTCAACTGTGTATGGTATTTATTTTAAATGCTTTTATTACAATACTTAGTGGGCTTCCTAAACTTATTTTGGCGTGGCTTTTTCTGTCTTATTACTCATAGCAACAAGTAAACATCACGTAAAACGTTGCCTCGTGAGTTCTGCGTGCTGCCGTTTACGTGTTTTATGATCACAGCAACTAACCGGCTAAGCTGTATTTAATTTTTAAGCAATGGTTGATCAATTGTCAGATCACACATAAAAAGCACTTTGGATTGCTATTATCTGTCTCACCGAGACTACTTAGGTGTAAATCTGTTATTTGTCCGTCCATCCATCCATTTTCATCCGCGTATCCGGAGTCGGGTTGCGGGGGCAGTAGCGTGACTTCCCTCTCCCCAGCCGCCGGAGCCAGCTCCTCCGGGTAAATCCCAAGGGGTTCCCCGGTCAGGTCCGGTGTTGTGCCGGTAAGAAGCCCGCTCCGACAGCTTCTGGCGTTTTTAAAAAGTATCCCAGGGGCACGGTAATGGTAGGAGATGTTTAGTCTATTTAATTTCTGACTATATAAAACGATTTCTTCTGTTTTAAAGTGTGAAGTAAACTCCGACGAAGTAAAATCCAAGCGGATCCCGTTCATGTTCATGGTTACATCCGTGTTTGTTTACCTTTTTTGCATGCCAAAATGGCGTCCACTAACTGAGAGTCACGTGGGGTCCGGAGCTCTATAGCTGTAAGTTCAGCAACCTTCAAATCCTACGTTTGGGAAGAGGAGATTATGTGATGACGTCATATGTGCGACGTGCCGATGTAGTCATGCTAATTACAAACTTTTCAAATAGTGGGACCACCATGCCAGTCTGCCATTCCAGTGGAACTGCCCCCGATGTCCCCCTGATGTTGCAGAGCCGTGTCCGCTTACACAACCCTACAACATCCAGAGCCTTGAGGAACTCTGGGCAGATCTCATCCATCGCTGGAGCCTTTCCTCCGGGGAGCTTTTTGACCACCTCAGTGACTTCAGCACCTTGCTGCCCCAGAGACCCAAAGAAAATTAAACATATTGGGTTTATTTAGTCGGATTTCTGAGCTACTACAGCAATCAGTTTCCCTCTGGGATTAATGAAGTATTTTTGAATTTAATTGAGTTGGATATCAAGCACAAACGAGCATGCTGCCTGTTGAATGTGCGGTGTAGCCAATCAGAACGTGAGATGATGGAAGCTTTTGTGACGTTTTGTGAGATTTCCACTTGGACCACGGAAAGTGGAATTGGAAGCTTTTGCCTTTGGCCACACACGGACACACCAAAACTGCATTTTTATCACCACACGTTGGTCTCTTCTAGTGTCTGGCAATAAAACATTTCTTGTAAGACAAAGGCAAATGGAAAAGTTGACTGGAAACCAGCAAATTAACGAATGCAAACGGTATAAAATGGTTTCATTTTCAAGTTGATTTTTTTTTTTACAATTTCCAGTAAACTTTAACAGCCTGAATAGACAAAAAATTTTAAAATGTTGCCATTGGTTCAAATTTTAAACGCAAAACAAATATCTTTCTATTTGAATAAAACAACGAGACTGTTTATGAGTTATACAGGCGTATTGTGGTGAAGTCTTGTTTTTTATTGTGTACAAAGTGTTGAAATTATATTGAAATCAACTTTGAGATCCCTGCCTGAAGCCTTCACGTTAGAAACAGCTGGTCTGGTTGCAGTCTTACTAGCAGCCTTTAAATCAAGAGGAACACCTAAATGTTGCGGCAGGCCCTTTTTATGGTGGAAATGAATTTTGTTTGGAAAGAGGGGCTCTACGGCAAGTCATAACTCATCTGATCATAACATTCTGACGTGGATACAAACTGCTGTCGTTAAAGCTGAGGCAGCAAACTTTGTGGTGGGTAAAAATCTCGGTCAGAGATCTAGTTTGAGATAAAATGGACTGTTGGGAGTGGGGTGACAGGTTGTGGAAGTAAAGACGGCTCATTGCCAGAATTGAAATATCAAGTGAAATTTGAATTTTTTTTTTGTTTGTCTTTCTGTCATCAATGCAGAGTTGGAGAGCGGACCCACTCCTTGTGGAGGTACCTGTGGACAAACTGTGCAGACTTCATCAACCCCCTCTACAGGCCAGACCACAGCCAGACTCAAGGACTCCTCCGACCCTCTACCGCCCCCTACTGTTTCAAGTAGGTTTTTACAATAGAGGCAGATGATGCAGTTCACATCAGAGTCACCCGCTATCTCCCTAAAAACGGAAGTCGTTTCAAAGATGAAGTTACTTTTGCTTCCACAGATTTTGGAAAGGTCTGTACAACCGCTTTGACCGTGGCATGCACCCACGACAGTCTGTGGAGGACTACCTTAGGGCCATCCAGGAGGAGACGCAGCAGCTGGAGGAGCAGCTGGCCTCACACAAGCAGGTACAACTGCTCCTCGTGATCATCCTGCAGATCGTTTCTCACGAGGACAAAAAACTATTTTCAGGTTCTGTAAGAGGCTTTTTGATTTTCATTAATAGAAGATCAGCCAGCTGGAGAAGGAACAGACTTGGAGTGTTTCCTGGAAGACTTCCCCCTCTGAAAAGAGCCCTGATGTGTGGGCTCTGGGTAGCGACCTTACTGGGGTCAACACTCCTCAGGACTACATCGGAGGTTTCTTCAGCAGCAGCAGCCCGCGCACACCCAAAGCTCCAGACGACAGCTCGTTCTTCCAGCCTCCGGACTCCAAACAAACAGCCAACCCCGTCTGCTCCAATGGCAGCGACCAGGAGTCCGGCATCGCAGACCTGAGCTGCCACTCGCCGCTCAGCGAGGACAACTCCAGGAATCAGACCTCGGACGGACTGGGCTACTCTGCTGCCCAAGTAATCCCCAGCAACCAGATTACTTAAAGTCTCATTCTGGTTTACTCCTCTGGTGGACTTTTGTTTCCACAAACACAGTTGTAGCTGATCATAAGTATTTTAGAAATCAGTTGTGATTTCCCAAAGACTTCCACAAGTGATAAACCTGTCTGCTGCTGTAGATTGTAGTTTTCCATGAAGTTATTATTTTAAGCATTATTCTTTGTTTATTATATAAACCGTCTCGGCTATGTTCGGTGTGACTGATACATTTCTGTGCTCTAGCGTACGACGCTGGTTCGATCCCGGCGGTCTGTAGCAGATCTGGCCTGACTGACTTGACTTGGCTGAAATTCTCTTCGTGTGTTTTTTAGGATTCCGTTTAGTATTCAGGTAAATGTGCAGCAGCGCTCACTTTTTACTGAGATTTGAAGAGCAAGTCACCCCCAAATCAACAGGGCTGCATGGTGGCGAAGTGGTTAGCACTGTTGCCTCGCAGCACGAAGGTTGCAGGTTCGAAGCTCGGCTGCGGCCTTTCTGCGTGGAGTTGCGTGTTCTCCCCATGAATGCGTGGGTTTCCTCCGGGTACTCAGGTTTCCCCCACAGATCACAACATGCCCTATAGAGCTCCGGGAGTTGACGTCACGTTTCCCGGCATGCAACAGTTCAAATCGAAACGGCGCCATATTGGCAGGCAGAAGCCGGCTGCTGGACTATTTGTTATTGTCAGAAAACTCAATCAAACGGGAAATATGGTAGATTCCTGTTGTGCCCCAGGATGCAGAACAGACGCGGACGACATAAGGAATGAGTCATCTACAGGATTCCCCAAGATCCGGAGCGCCGCAAACGTTGGATCATTGTAATAAAACGCGCTAGTGACCGGGCTAAAATGAAGCTGTGGGATCCCGAGAGTAAAGGATTTCGCTTATGCAGCGACCGCTTCATATCAGGTACTTAAACCAACGTTTCCTCAACTGTGTGTGGTATTTATTTTAAATGCTTTTATTACGATTCTTAGTGGGCTTCCTAAACTTATTTTGGCGGGGCTTTTTCTGTCTTATTACTCACAGCAGCAAGTAAACATCACGTAAAACGTTGCCTCGTGAGTTCTGCGTGCTGCCGTTTCCGTGTTTTATGATCACAGCAATTAACCGGCTATGCTGTATTTAATTTTTAAGCAATGGTTGATCAATTGTCAGATCACACATAAAAAGCACTTTGGATTGCTATTATCTGTCTCACCGAGACTACTTACGTGTAAATCTGTTATTTGTCCGTCCATCCATCCATTTTCATCCGCGTATCCGGAGTCGGCTTGCGGGGGCAGTAGCGTGGCTTCCCTCTCCCCAGCCGCCGGAGCCAGCTTCTCCGGGTAAATCCCAAGGGGTTCCCCCGGCCAGGTCCGGTGTTGTGCCGGTAAGAAGTCCGCTCCGACAGCTTCTGGCGTTTTTAAAAAGTATCCCAGGGGCACGGTAAGGGTCGGAGATGTTTAGTCTATTTAATTTCTGACTATATAAAACGATTTCTTCTGTTTTAAAGTGTGAAGTAAACTCCGACGAAGTAAAATCCAAGCGGATCCCGTTCATGTTCATGGTTACATCCGTGTTTGTTTACCTTTTTTGCATGCCAAAATGGCGTCCACTAACTGAGAGTCACGTGGGGTCCGGAGCTCTATTGGTTATAAATTGTAAGTCGCTTTGGATAAAAGTGTCTGCTAAATGAATAAACATAAACATAAACATTTTTTGCCGATAAACTATATAAATGTGTGTCTAATCTTGCTGTAGACACGTGTAGTCAATAATTTGTCACTTCAGTGCATCTTAGTTAAAATTTAAATATTCTGCCTAAAACTGTCAGTGTTGCACCGTCTTCAGGTAAAAACTCTACATTTGAATTTAAATCTGCCATCGTTACTGGCTAAGAGGTACCCTATGACATTAGCTGGTACCATATGATGTCACAATGTTGTTGTGAGCATGTGGGTGATTTTTAATGCCAAGGAAACTTGCCTTGATGTCTTGGTCCCGCCCCGGTTGCCTAGGAGATACTTCCATCAGGAACCGCCAAGACGTGTTCCAATGTTCATGTTCTACCGAGGCATCTGTTCTCCGTTTGTTAGCTGTTTAGCTAGCTGAGCACAGGAGGTGCCTTGTAGCCTGGCCTTGTTAAAAAATTTGCCAGAATAAACCGCAGTATTTTCAAAAGGATGGCGGATCAGAAGCCGGCAGCTACTTCGCAGAGGAAAGATATCAAAGAAGTTATCTATGGTTGGTTAGTTGCTTAGTAGTTAGCTTTGGTGGCTAGCAGGTAGTAACTCGCTTACATATTTAATTTAACCAATTTTAACACAATTTTAAAATTAAACGGCTGGTTCTGCATGAATATCAGGCTAGCCAGGCAATGCCTCCTTGTGGTGCATTTTTCAAACAAGAAATGGGAGTGGAGTAAGACTCTGGTAGAGGGTGACTTTCTCTTTAAAGTTTTGTTCTTTCAAATTTTAAATTCCACCTTTTTCTAAATTCTTCACCAAATGAGAAACAAAGATGGAAACAGCTCATTTCAGTAAGTGGGATTATTTATATTTTAAATAATATTTTCTCTCACCCAGAATATGTACTGCTATAAATAAACTGTTATTTAAATAAGGTCACCACAGAGACGTAGATTTTCTCATTCTTTATGATCAAATACCGGGGAATATTTTATAGCTTAAAGAGATTTAATTATGAAAAAAAAAATTCATGGTACAGGGAACAGGTTCTGTTACCAGGTAGGACCTTTAGAATCAGGGTCACCCTGCTCCATCTGATGGGAGTGTGTTGTGGGAGGAATTATGGCCAGAACCAGAGCTCAAACATCATCCTTTATTATTCAACACACATGCATGAACTGTTTTTTAAATTTTTATTTATTTTTTATAATAGCATGATAAAATGACTCAAGTTTTCAGATAGGTCTCAGTCAAATGTATCTACTACCCTCACAGCTGATAGTAGAACTGGGCTGCCTGTTGCTGTTGTGGTGAAGATGCTAGTGTGTACTCATCAGACAGTAATGGTTTACACCCTGGCATCACTGCAAAGGCACCTCCATGGATGCTTTGGTGGTGGATGTGTGCAGGTCAGCAGCTAAGCTCTAAATGGGGCTCCAGAAATTTAGCAACAGGTTGGTTGTTCATGAAGCATCTTGCTGCCACTGAGGGATCTACTGTAAAATGTGTTGATACCAGATTTACCTTGATACCTATGCTCCACTGTATTCTCACTATAACACATGCACCTTTTTAGAGACTAGAGAACTTGTCTTTTATTTGGGCATGGAACAATTATACTGCTGAAGCAGGTGAACACATACGTGTTATTACGTGCAGCATCAGATTGCTGACTACTTTTTTGTTTACTGTGCAATCTTAAGTGCATCTTTTGCATTAAAAAAAATCTTATTTTTAAAGTGACTATGTATTTTCCCTGGCAATCGGGGGCAGTAAGTACCTCAGTCACTGCAAGCAAGTGATATTTTTGTGTTTGAGTCAGACCTTACCAACGGATGGCCATTAGGGTCAAAAATCCCTAGGATCAGCAAAATGACAAGCACATCAGACTTCCTTTCCTCACTGGCAACAAGTGAAGAGGTGAATGTGTAAAACAACATTTATGAATGGTGAAAGTTTCATAACAAACCAGTAAAAGCATTTTGTCCTCATGGGTTCCCGTTGAAGGAAACATGGCTTCTAATATGGCGTCACCCAGAGACTTAGGCCCAATCACGATACCCGCACTTCCACACTTGCTTCCTTGTGAGATCACGGCCAGGAGTGCGAGTGCGTAGGGTGTCCTGATTCTCAAGTGCAGAAGTTTATCACACCCCTTTTGCCCCCTTGATCCGTACTTCACCCAAGTCCGCGTCAATGTGAACTTGGGTGAAGTGTATTACCCACAATCCATTGCTGCAGGAGAAAAAGATCAAGTGGCTTTTCTGAAAATATTTATTTTCAAATGAAAGTAGTTCATTTTAGGACAATTAATTGATGTGCTGAATATTTTAGATAAAGCAGCAATGAATGTAAATTAATTTTAAAAAAATGTTTGAAAGTTGTTAAAGATTTTTTTAAAAGTAGGACAGCGACCAGCATCCCGGCATGTGTTGCGGTCGATGACGCAGTGCTCCATCCCAAATTGGCAATTATTGGCAGACTTGTGTACCACGCACTCGAAGCCTTACTTCCTCCAAGTGCACTTGACAGAAGACCGTAGGGCGCAGTTCGAGTGTTGGGTCTTAGACCCGCTCCCATGAATTTTAGAGCAGATTTTCAAGGTCATATGTTACGAAACGCCAATATTTTTCAACAACTTCAACATTTCGATGGATATTTCCAGACATTAACGATGAAAACTACCCATTGTCACTTTAAAGCTCATACATTTAGTTATCTCATAAAGGAACAACAAAGAGATTTTGCCGATCAGTCTTTTTAGTCTGTGACCTAGTTTGTCCTCCAGGCAGTTTTTACTTTAAATGGTTGTTTTTGTTTTTTTGTTGGATGGTCAGAGTCAGGTTGCTTTGTTAATATAGAAGAGCTCCACAGCATAAACCTCTGCTATATTTTGTTTTGTATGAATAAAAGGGTCTTTTTTTTCATGTGAGTAAAATGTGCCAGTTGTCTGGTGAAATAAAGCATGGTGTAATGGCTGTTTTGTCACTGCAGGAGCGAAAGGTTCAGTTCATTCAAATAGTAAAGTTGTTTTGTGTTCTGCCTTTGCACAAACGATTATCAGAGGAGAGGAATGCAGAACTAAAATCCAAATGTTCCTGACTTTATGTTTGTTACCAGTCTGACTATGTCTCTCCACTGGCCAGGGAACGCCATGGGATTCTCCCGGAGGAGCTGGCCCAAGTAGCTGGGGAGAGGGAAGTCTGGAATACAAATAAAAGTTGAAAAGCTGCTTTTATCGGACAGCAAATGATAAATCTAAATGGATTAAAGTTTCTTTTTTAATACTTTGTTTTCTTTCTTTTTGTTTTAGTAGTTTATAATTTTCCTGCTGTGTTATTTTCTACATTATTTTGTTGTTAATTGAACATTTTCAAAAAAGCCTTATCTATTAATTTTAGGACAAACCTCAAAGTCAAAACTATTTCCTTACTTCTGCCACAGATTTTTGGATGAATGAATGTTTATTTTGTTTGTACATTTTTAAAACATTGATACTCAAATAGCCCATGTGTAATCAAAGGTGCTGGATTGATGCTTAAAGAGCAAGTCACCCCCAAATCTACTTTTTTTTTGCTGATAAAATATATAAATGAGCATTAGCATATGGAAGAGTGTTAACACACTAACGTCTCTTAGCCAATAGCGATGGCAGATTTTAATTCAAATGTGTTGCAGAGTTTTTACCTGACGAGTGCAACACTGACAGTTTTAGGCAGAATAGTTAAATTTTAACTAAAATGCATTTAAATGCCAAATTATTGACTAAACATGTCTACAGCATGATTAGACACTCATTTATATAGTTTATCAGCAAAAAATTGATTTGGGGGTAACTTGCTCTTTAAGCTTATTTGCGCCTATCTTACACATGACAGCAATGGCCTCCCCAGGAAAAGCCAGTGTTCACTCAAATCATAAGTTTAGCATATTTCTTCAAGACATAAATGTACAACATGGGGCGACTGTGGCACAGGAGTTAAGTGCTCGCCCCGTAATCGGAAGGTTGCAGGTTCGAGTCCCGCTCAGTCTGTCGTTGTGTCCTTGGGCAAGACACTTAACCCACGTTACCTGCTGGTGGTGGTCTGAGGGACCGGTGGCGCCAGTGCTCGGCAGCCTCGCCTCTGTCAGTGCGCCCCAGGGCAGCTGTGGCTGCATTGTAGCTCATCACCACCAGTGTGTGAATGTGTGTGTGAATGGATGAATGACTGATTGTGTTGTAAAGCGCCTTGGGGGGTTCCAGGACTCTAGAAGGCGCTATATCAAATACAGGCCATTTATATAACACAATAAAAATAATACAATTAATGAGTAAAGAAATAGTCAGAATTAAAAAACGCACATGCTCTGCTGCTCACCATTAAGCTAAGTTTTTATCTCCATAGTTTTTGTGAACACAGAAACAGGTGAATTAAACTAATATATATATATATATATATATATATATATATATATATATATATATATATATATATATATATATATATATAAAAATAAACTTTGAAATAACATTTTAAATAACTGAAATGTATGTTTCTGAAATGTTTCTGTTTGTTAAATTTGAGTTAAATGTTTTGGATACATACTGTTTTTTTATTTTTATTATTACACAAATTAAGCAGAATGCATCGCCACAGGCTAAACTCTTCCAGAGTTACCACAAGGACCAATTTGGTGTGCCACGCCACCCCAAAAATGTATTTGGCCCTGTCTGACCACTCTCATCAAAATTTTCTGGAGGCTCTCCTACATGACAGTGAAGCCACTAGTATACTTTAAAAATAAAAATATACCTGTGAATACACTATTTATATTGTTAGATATCTACGTAAATCACGCTATGCTGCTTAGTCAAACACAATAAAGACTAACTTGACGCACAATTATGAATAAAATAATCAAGTTTCTTTTCCCTTGAACTTTTTATATAAGAGTTTTAAAGTCAAGAGTTTAGCTAACATTTCCCAACGTCGGCTTTCGGCCACGCCCCCTGCTGCTTCCGTCTGCGCCCGTCTGTTTTCCAGGCGCAGGCGCAGCTCAACTCGAACACGGCCAATTTATTATTAAACGTTTCGGACGTCAACGTCATCCCGCAGACACGTTTCCGGTTTACGTGTTGACGTTTACGTAGGCTCAGTTGTGATGGCAGCCTTTGGGTGACTTCAAAACAGTACTGAGTATAAACTGTTAAAAAGTTAGCTGACACCCCCCTAAACCATAACAGTGCACACCTGAACAGTTCCCAGATAGCACACGCCTCAAACACACACACCTGCCCGCTTAGGGGAACGGTAAGTTAACGGTAAGTCCAGCTTTTCTGTCAAAGCGGCGCTGCAGCCGTGTGAGCATGTGTGTGTGTGTTTGTGTGTGAGTGTGTGTGTGTGTGGCGCTACTACTTTTCTCTCGTCATGTACACACAGTGTAGTTGATTAGCGGAGCTAGCTGTTTACTGGAGAGGTGTGTGAACGTGGCCCACTCCTCCTGCTGCTGCTAGCAGCTAATGAGAGCGGCTGAAACCGGAGCTAATGTTTAAACACCGCAGCGCTTCGCTGATCTTTGCACATGTGTATCTTGTGGCTTAGCCTAATAAAAGACGGTCAAACAAATGCGCTCTGAGAAGTAAATGTTCCCGTCATTTGGCGCGAGGACTTATTTATTTTTTATGCTCAATGTTAAGTCGAATATGTCTCTGTGGTTCTTTGCTGCTGCTTCTGGGGGACAGATCAACTAAACACAAACGACAGGTTTTGTAATTAATTTTTAATTTCTGTTTCTTTCCATGTGAGAAATGTTCCAAAACTGAACATTTTAGAAGTTGGAGATGATTGTTTAACGATTTAACAAAATAAAAGCATATCAAAAGCCATAATCATCAGTCCATACAGAGATTTGTGACTTCAAATGTTTTAGTATTTTAATAAACGCATTTAAAAAAAAACTGCACATTCAGTAACTGGGGAAAAGACTGATTTTTGTACCAGAAAGAGCCTAGCTGCACGTCCTTGTTAGATTAAGGTGATATAAGTGTGTGTAAGCGTGCCTCATCTGAAGGGTTTATTCACTCCAAACCTGAGATTTATATCTAGTATAAAAGCTCTTGCACATCACCATGCGCTCTGAGTGTTTTGGATGGTCTTGTCCGTGAAAAGAATTGAATATTAGGTCATCTTTGGCCATTATAAGGTTACTGTGTATCTCCAGACCTACATTAAAGGTGCAGTATGTAAGAATATAGTGAGACATTTACAGTAAAAAAAATCCCAGAAGAGTCTAATGATTCAGTCATTTTGGAAGGAAGTTTATACTGAAACATGTTTCATATCCAGCTGGCTGCGGGAATTTTCAGCTTTTCTCTTTTCTAAACAAAGAAAGCAGGGACGTAGCTACTGTTTACCATGCCATTTACTATGAGTGTGGGGTTGTCGTGTCTCCCGCGAGCTAATTCTTTAGCGCCGACAACTACAATTTGATGACTGCTGGCAAAAGTGGTTGCAGTAACCAAATTTATTACAGTTTTTACTCAATTTCTACATAATGAACCATTAAATATAAGGATTCTGGAGATTATATCATGTGATCTGATAGCTGTTCTGATGCTAAGACCCTGTTCTTTAACGCTGTTTTAAATATTTTAATTGATCTTTTTGTATGTGGATCTGTAGGTACATGTATTGGCACCAGGACACATCTCAAAGCTAAACGAGTTTAAATAAACACTTTCAGGAACAAACTGAAGTAATTTAAATAGCGATGCACCGATATAACATTTTTGGGCCGATACCGATATTAAGATCACTGTTATGGCCAATAACCGATATTTGCCGATACCGATATACTGACATTAATGCTTCTGACATCAGCAGATTTTGTATAGAATGAAAATGATTAAAGCTGAATTTGTCTTATTATTTACACACAACACACACATTTACGGTTCTGGGATGATTTCATTCACCGTTCACATGACTAAACGAATACACATCACCCCCTCACCCTCTGAAACAGACAAATGGAGACAAGATGGAAAAAATATCGGTTGTTAATATCGGCCCGGTGTTATTTCTCGAACCGATATGTTAAAAAATGACTAACATCGGCCGATACCGATATCGATGCTGATATATCCCTAATTTTAAATGAACATAATTTCTCTCTGTGTTTATGTGTCGGCACGATTCTAGTGGCACTATGCCCGCAGCTACTGTGGATCACAGCCAAAGAATATGTGAGGTGTGGACCAACAACCTGGAGGAGGAGTTGAAGAGAATCCGACAAGTTATCAGAAAATACAACTACATCGCCATGGTGAGTGGCATTCACAGAGAGGCTGTCAGCACCTCCCGCTCGCTGACACAACCAGTGTTCGTAACACCTCGTCTCCTCGCAGGACACGGAGTTTCCCGGTGTCGTAGCCAGACCAATCGGAGAGTTTAGGAGCAACGCCGACTACCAGTACCAGCTACTGCGCTGCAACGTGGATCTGCTGAAGATCATACAGCTGGGCCTCACATTCATGAATGAGCAGGGGGAATACCCTCCAGGAACTTCAACATGGCAGTTCAATTTCAAGTTCAACCTTACGTAAGACCTCCTTCGGTTTACTTTAATTATGAGGGTTTTCTGAAGATTTCTGTTAGTATTGGTAAGAGAGCCACAACACATTTTTCAGCCTCTAGGTCAGGGGTCTCTAACCTTTTTTGGCTCGTGAGCTACTTTTTCACAATGAAAGTACAGAAGAGCTACTGCCATACAATTTATTTACACTGATGCGTTCAATGTGTGAATATGTTTACTGTGTCAAAAAATGCTATATATGAACATACATTGTATGCACTAGTCGATTTCTTTGTATTTCAATGCATCAAAAAAAGTACAAGGAACATGAAATTCTTAAAATCAAACTAAACTAAAGATGTTGTTTATTAACTAATCAGGTAATGAATTACAAATCTACTTTGTGTGAATGATTTGACATTTTCTTAAGAATAGATCAGTAACAGAACTTTTTGAGCACACAGGAGCAGCTCACCTGTCCCTGACCCTGAGCCCTGCCCTGTGCAGCAATGTCAGTTTTTCATAGTGTTCAGCTATTTTGTCAGAAATGACCAAAAACTTCCAAAAACTACAGCATGCCTTTCAAAATGACACAAACATTTCAATTTTTTGATTGTTTTTTTTTTTTGTTTACAAACAGTTCAATACAAAAATCCTCTAAAATGAAAAAAGCTGAAGATATTTTAAATAAAATACAAGCTAAATGTGATGAAAACACAAAATTCTAAATAGTAAAAAATGTAACAACAGAAATCACTTTTCTTCCTGCATTCCTTATTTATTGAATAATTTTTATGGGTTTTTTTCGTCGCTAAATTTAAGTTTTGCTTCAATAACTGCGGGTAAAATTACGCTTTGTTGCATTTTCTGTTGACAATATTAAAATTAGGTTGGAGGTTTTTCCGTTTTCTCCGCCTCTGGATCAGCTGATCCGCGGATCTGACGGTTGAGCAAGAGAGAGAGAGAGAGGTAAAATCATGTTTTAATCCAAAATGAGACGATCAGCTGTTGACACAATCACAGGAGACATCCAGAGTTCATCAAGAACAGCATTTTATTTGCGTTAACGAGCCTTTACCGCAGATAGGACTTTAGCCTACTGTCACCCAGAGTATTTTACTAAGAAAGTGTTTCTGAAACCTTCCTAAAAATCGTTGGCTCATGAGCAACGGGTTGAAATCCCCTGCTCTAGATAGTTCTGTCAGAGAAAAAAAAAACTCCAGAGTTTTGCTTTAACGCAGTGGTTTAGGTGAGCTTCAGTAAACTTATGGCACTTACACATCTGGGCCAGTCCGGTCGGATGTAGGACCATAATTTTGTTTCACACCTGGGTCAGATATGCGTTTTCCGTTCCGAGGTGATTCTTTTTTCCAGACCTCTTCCTCGGAGGTCCGACTGGGATCAAGATGACACAACAGGCTGACTGGCCGGCTGAATGCCACGCCTACCGCCTCTAGTGGGGCTTCCCACATGCGCGATTCATTTTCTTGCTGGATGCTGTTGAGTAAACATCTGCCTGTAGCACGGAGCTCCCGGCCCGTGGGAAAGGGAAAAGAGAGCTGTGTGTGTGTCCTCTGAGCAGCGAACATCTCTGCACGGAGTTCTCGCCACAGCTGCTTAGTGGAAGGGGAGAGAAGCGAGTGTGTGTTTGTGTGAGCGGAGTTTGAAGACCTGCACGGCAGTGAAAGAACAGGGAGCAAATTCATAAAAAAATGTGGTTCAGAGTCTTTAATTGCAATGCAGCTCACGTCTGCTTTTGTTTATTTTATTACGGAGGACACCACGGATTTTCTCGCGCATCTTAAACACCACCCATGTTTCCGCATAACGGAGAACTCATTGGGAACTACTTGTGCACTGCCCGTACAAGACCAAAGAGACGCGATCCTCCCCCGACCGCACTGACCCAGATGTGTAAGCGCCATAAGAGGCTGTGTGCAGGCTTAAAAGGGACTTGGCAGTTTTGGCTTGCTGCTAGCATCCCCTAGTGTCCGTTTGTAGAAACGAACGCAAAAGCTATCCCCTCGCTGTGCCTTCGTCTTTTTAACACCTTAATCTAACAGATGAAACGTCTCCCAGCCTTCATTAGTGTCTACAGCAGCGATTCATCACTAGATTCAGCTGTGTTTATGATCTAACACACATATGTCAGAGTCAAGGCCCACGGGCCAAATGCGGCCCGCGGAGCATTTTTATGTGGCCCGCGAGATAGATATCAAAAATATATTAAAACTGGCCCGCTGGCCGATTTTACCGCAAAGACTTCAACTCCCATGATGCTTTGCGGCGTCAGCGCGGAGCCGAAGCGCCCCCTCCTTTGTGTTTTTCTAGCGTCTTCTGCCGGGTGTCTGCAGCTCCGCTGTCTCGGACAAACTACACTCCTCTCACTCAGCGCCGAGTTCACTCAGCTGTTTTCTGACGTTGAAGCCCAGAAACGGAGATTCTAGCTGCTCAGTAATGTGTTCACGACTGAAAGAGGAAGTTTTCCAACTAACTTCCAGACAGAGCTGATATAACTCCAGCGAACAGCGACACGCTCAAACCAGCTGCTGTCGTTGTGTTTCCTCCCCGACACACAACAACGTGGTCAAGCTGCTCAGACATGTTCAGCAGCACAAACCTATGTGAGCACCTGTTGTCTAATGTTGTCATTATTATGATGAAGATGAACAAAACAACAGGAGTCTCCTCCTCAGCTCAGATCAACCCCATGATGCAGGTATCTGGCTGGAACAGGTGAGCATCACAGTAAACCAGTGGAGCAAACTGAGCTTTAAATATGTTGGTTTTATGCTCTTTTTCTGCTCCAAAACATGAAAGTTAACAGGTGAGATGTTGCTTTTTCATTTAAGATAAAATGATATTTTTATTTTGTTGTTGGCCCGTGAGAAAAGATTTAACCTACAGTAAACAGGAAGTGGAAAGGCTGCAGATAGATGAATAGAATAGAAAATCCCTTTATTGTTCCTCAGTGGGGAAAGCTAGACGTCACAGCAGCGATGACACGTATTACAGGAGAAAAAAAGGAGAATAAAAATAAGAAAAATGAATAAACAAGAAAACATAAATCCTGAATAGATTTTAAAAATGCTGATTATACCACAAGTAATGAATACCACTGATGCCTTTTATTTAAAACTGACTTGCTCGTGTGTAATTTGGTTATTCCACATTCAGTGTTAATGCAGAAATATGTTTGTTTCCAAATTTAAAGGTTCAAAATTTCATACATGTTGATAAAGAAAATGTGCAAATTTGCATCACTTTTTCAAAAATATTAAGTTTGGCCCTCGACTCCGTCCCAGAGTTTCATTTCGGCCCTTTGTGAGTTTGAGTTTGACACCCCTGGTCTAACATGTAGGAAACGTGCTGGAAGCAGACTGCAGTGCCAGGTGTGTCAGCTCATTTTTTTCTAAATCCCAACAGAGCGGGAAATGAGCTATTCTGGCCACAGGGGCGATAGAGGCTGGGTGGCCTTTCATTACCCCTGTAAAGGTTTTTTCAGTACATACTGGCTCAATAAAATGATTTCAAAATATGAAACATTTTCAAAGTATCCCTTTAAGCCGTTTTTAAACTGCATGGACCGGGAGAACACCGTTCATGATTTCCTTAGGTCCGGAGTAGACTGCTGCAAAATGCATGTTTGTGTCCCTCGGCCATGCGCCACTCACCTTCAGCTGGTTCAGAACTTTGCTGCCTGCCTTCTCTAGAGAACATCTGGACATGGCCACATCTCACCTGGCTTTCTGTTTCCTTCAAAATCCAACATGAACTCCTACTTTTTACATTTAAGAACGTCTCAGACACTCTATGCCTGTGCAAATGAACTACTCATTTATTTGTTGGTTTTATTTCTAGGTTTAGTAGTGATGCACCGATATGAATTTTTGGGTCCGATACCGATATCCAATATTAAAGGTATGGCAATCGATGTTTTGCTTCCGGGTGGATCACGTCAACCATTGGTCCGCAAAAATGTCCATTTCTGGTGAAGCCAATCCTGGGTTGTTTTTCACTTCCTGCACATGCGTACTCTGTGCACCCTCGCACTCTGATGGAAATCAGGAAGAGGCTAGCGCGGTCCAGTCCGCTCCCCACAGACGCCGCTGTTGCCGGTTTTCTGCTCGAGAGGTAAGCTAACGCTCTGCGTGCTATTTTTAGAGCCTCTTATTACACATTACAGCCGGCAGCTACTTGTAGACAGGCGCTGGGAGAGTTTTGCGCAATGTGGAGAGGGCGGTTCTTTCCTGAAATTCCGAAACATCGATTGCTTTATCTTTAACTCATTCGCTGCCAGCCGTTTCCTGATCGGTAAAGCCCTTCGCTGCCAGCGTTTTTACTGTTTTTTTAAGAGTCACAGTTCGTTGCACTCTATGATGATGTTGTCGCCAAAACAACCAAAACAAAGCGGAGACTCACCTCTTACATCAGGAAGAATCAGCGCGTTTCGAGCGTTATCCGTTCTTTCGTAATCCGTTGTTGAATTGTGATCAGCAGAAGCTTTTCCGGTTCGCGCCTCACTTTTTTTACAGCAGCGGCCCAAAACGATCTAACACATGGACGTTCTGCTTCCTGATCACGTGACGTGTGACGTGCGCAGATAAAGATCAGCTTTAGGTCTGAGATGTTTGTTCTCACGGTGCGGGGGCTCGTTCCGATGCCCACACAGTAAAAAAAATGCAAATGACGACTTTAGTCGTCAATGGCAGCGAATAGGTTAAGATCACTGTTATGGCCGATAACCGATATTTGCTGATACCGATATTCTGACATTATTGCTTCTAAAATCGCCAGATTTTGTATAGAATTTAATTATTAAAGCTGAATTGTTGTTATTATGTACACACAACACAACACACACATTTACGGTTCTGAGATGATTTCATTCACTGTTCACATCACCCCCCCTCACCCTTTGAAACAGGCAAACAAATGGAGACAAGATGGAAAAAATATCGGTTGTTAATATCAGCTTGGTGTTATTTATCGAACCGATATGCTAAAAAATGACTAACATTGGCCGA